TCGATCATACGTCTCATTCCTGTGAAGAAATATTCAAACTCAGAAAACGTGTTCTGCTCGGGCTGAAAATGCGTTTAAAGCAATAAAAACTCAAAATGAGTATCACACCTAAACAAAAGGACTTATGCACACGTTTCAACATGTATTTCGTTAAGGTTAATATCCTGAAGCATAAATGAACATTAATTTGATCATACAACTCATTCCCATGAAGAAATATTCAAACTCAGAAAACGTGCTCTGCTCGGGCTAAAAATGCGTTTAAAGCAATAAAAATGAAAATGAGTGTCACACCTAAAAGAAAGGACTTATGTGTCATATATGGACTATATGCATAGAACTTTACGACAGCAGTTCGACATGCCGTAAAGAGCGGCTAACGGGTTACCAAGGCAACCGACCTCGTGCATAAAAAAGAGAACATGTCTTCGTTACTATTAGACTGGCCTGCACTGTTCCCGAGCGACTAGTAAAGCACCTCTGTTCAGCACAACTCTCTGAGTGGACATTCTTCAATAACATTACATGGTGTCAGAAGTCGGCGACAGACCTGCAGCTTCGGATAATGGCAAAGTTTAACCCCCCGGGAAGCTTTCCGTTCGACCGCCCGACGGAATGGGCTGATTGGAAGCAGCGGTTTCAGCGTTTTCGTGTGGCGACGAAATTGAACAACGAGGACGGCGAGGTGCAAGTAAGCTCTTTGATCTACGCTATGGGCGCGGAGGCGGAGAATATTTTCAAGGCATTCACTTTTGCGGATGAAGCGGACAAGACGAAATTCGACGTCGTGTTAGGAAAATACGACGAATACTTCTACCCGAAGAGGAATGTTATCCACGAGCGAGCGTGTTTCCACCAGAGAGTACAGCGGCCCGGTGAGAAAGTCGAAATGTTTATCCGAGCTTTGTACGAACTGTCGGAACATTGTGACTTTGGGATACACAGAGAGGAGCACATCAGGGATCGCATCGTTGTGGGAATAATCGACAAAGAGATGTCTCGTAAACTGCAGCTTGAGTCACAGCTCACACTAGCTCAGACCGTTCAGGCCGTACGGCAGTCTGAGGAGGTGACGAGGCAAGTGCACGAGCAAGGGGAGGCGTGCGCAGCGGTGCAGGAGGTCTCTCATCCGAAAACTGCATTCAGAGGGAAGCAGCAGTGGAAAAATGAAAAGCAAGTGAATGGGGAGCACACTGAACAAAAATGTGGAAGATGTGGTAAAATTAAGCATAGAGAACAAAGTAAATGTCCAGCCATGAAGTCTACATGCAACAAGTGCAAAAAGGTGGGTCACTGGGAAAGAATGTGCCACAGCAAGTCTATCAAAGAAGTGACGGACGAGGAGACTGTTTCGCAGACACCATATTTCCTTGGGGCTGTCACAGACACTACCAGAGAGAGTGATAAATGGACTGTAGAAATTGTCATTGGAGCAACACCAGTTAAATTTAAAATTGATACTGGAGCGGATTTAAACATCATGGAGAAAGAGACATTCGACATGTTAGTCCCTGAAGAGAAACTTGTGCAGTCCAATATCCCCCCAATGAATAGCCCTGGTGGTCAGCTAAACTGTGTTGGAAAATTCCAGGCAAATGCAAAGTACAAAGGAAAGTACTATTCATTTCCAGTGTTTGTGATCCACAGCCAGACGTCTAATAACCTGCTAGGCAAAGAGACAGCATGCGCAATGGGACTAGTGAAACGCATTGAGGAAGTGCACAATGCATTCGGCGAGCATGGAACCCTTAAGACAGAGCCAGTCGAAATAAAACTCAAAGATAACGCAGAACCGTATGCAGTTCACACAGCTCGTCGAGTCCCTCTGCCGCTTTTGGGTAAAGTAAAAGAGGAATTGCAGCGTATGGAGAAATACAAGATAATTGAAAAAGTAACTGACCCAACAGACTGGTGCGCAATGGTGCCTGTCCCAAGAAAAAATGGCCAAGTGCGCATCTGTGTGGATTTGAAAAAACTAAATGAAGCTGTGAAGAGAGAAAGATTTGTCCTCCCAACTGCCGAGGAAATCACTGCAAAACTGTGTGGAGCAACCACGTTTACGTCACTTGACGCGGCTTCAGGGTTCTGGCAGATACCCCTCCATCCACGAAGCAGCGAGTTAACTACATTCATTACACCTTTTGGAAGGTACGCATTTAAACGTCTGCCTTTCGGCATCACCAGCGCTCCAGAAATCTTTCAGAGGAAAATGATGGAGGCCCTGAGTGATCTTGATGGAGTGGCAATTTACATGGGCGACATACTAGTTTATGGCGACACACCAGAACAACACGATGAGCGCCTAAGCAAAGTTCTGGAGAGAATCAAGTTGACAGGTTTGAAGTTGAACAGAGACAAGTGCGTGTTCAGGAAAAACCAACTCCACTTCCTGGGTCAACTGATTGACAAGTCAGGAGTAAAACCTGATCCTGAGAAAGTAAAAGCCATCAAAGAGCTCCCAGAGCCACAGAACGTCCAGGACCTGAAACGTGTCCTGGGCATGTTCACATACTTGTTGTGGAAGTATATCCCTCATTTGTCAACAGTGGGTCAACTGACATGTTGCCTGCTTCTCACTGTAAAAGGAAACATCCCCCTCACAGCATATCGTGGCATCATTCTGAGCACCACTGCACAGAAAAAGCTGTTGCCAGGGAAAAGCCATCTTACTTGAGGAGCGCTATTCAGCAATAAGGCAATTCTGTTGCAAGCTCAAAGAATTAAGAAGGAAGAGAAAAGAAGCTCAAGGCCGTCTTAAAAGAACATGGATGAAAGTGCTGCACAATGTATGAATTAACACATGCGAATCCAATCGAATTGCCTTTGACTTTTCCACAACAGGAAATGGTTAGTATTGACTCTTGATAATTTTGGCAAATATATACTCCTGCCCTGTACCCAAAGCTGGGGTTCAGGTAGATACTATGTCTCGTACTTGGTTTGTCAGTGCGTCAAGCAAATACAGTGGCATACATGACAGACAAATTAATTCAATTGCGCTTTCAGCCACTCTGCCCCCAAACTCTGGAACTCACCCTTATACGAACTGTTGAGGTCCAATTCCACATGGACATGGGATCACCCGCAGAAAAAGGCATTCGAGCATATCAAAGTCATTCTGTCTACATCTCCCGTACTCAAGTTCTATGATGTGAACCGACCTACTACTGTATCAGCGGATGCACTGTAATACTGTATTGGTTTTTCTTCCCACATTCAAATCCCGTCTTAAAACTCACCTATTCCAAATTGGATGCTCCGTTTAAATTACACGTCTTCTTTTATTATTTATAGTTTTATCTGTGGTTTTATTGTTTTGTTCTTGATTGTAAAGTGTCCTTGAGTGTTTTGAAAGGCGCTTATAAATAAAATTTATTATGATAACCAGATATGCCCAGATCGAAAAGGAATGTCTGGCAAGTGTTTGGGAATGCGAAAGGTTTGAGAATTACCTGGTTGGGCTGGAGAACTTCAAATTGGTCACCGGGGTGGTGCGGTGGTCCAGTGGTTCGCGCGTCAACCTTACAGTGCAGAGATATCAAGTTCAATTCCAGCTGCGGCCTCCCTATGTGGAGTTTGCATGTTCTCCAAGGGCCTGCGTGGGTTTTCTCCGGGTTGACCATAAACCTTTGGTACCGCTGATGAATAAAAAGGATCTGGATAACGTTCCAATGCGTTGCCAAAGACTCTTAATGAGACTTATGAGATTTAAGCCTACAGCTGAATATGCACCAGGCAAGACTCTTACCGTGGCTGATGCGCTGTCCCGTAGCCCATTACAGTGCACTACGGAGGTAAGTGACACTCATTCCGATGTAAAGTGTTACATTGCAGCCATCATCACCGGCATGCCAGCCACACCACAAAAGCTTGAGGCTATAAAGCTAGCCACAGCAGCTGACAGTAACCTAAAGGTGCTACTGAGATATATCAAGTCAGGTTGGCCAGATTATGTAGGAAATGTCCCTATTGCCATCAGAGACTATTATCCAGTTAGAAGTGAACTGTCAGAGTACAAAGGTATTGTCACCAAGGGATGTCGCATATTAATTCCGGCCCCGTTGAGAGGTGACATCTTGGATCGGATCCATGATGGACATCAGGGCCTAACCAAATGCAGGGAGCGGGCCAATGCATCCGTGTGGTGGCCCGGAATCTCCACTGACATCAAACTGAAAGTGGAGTCCTGTCAAACATGCTGTGAGATGAAACACACCCAGCGTAAGGAGCCCCTCATCTCAACTTCTATGCCTGAAAGACCTTGGCAAAGACTTGCAATCGACCTTTGTGATTACAACAAGCAAACCTACCTGGTAGTGTCCGATTATTTCTCCAGGTTCATCGAGATACTCCATATGTCAACAACAACTGCTTCACAGGTCGTATTGAAGCTCAAATCACTCTTCGCTCGCTATGGCTGCCCGGACCAGATTGTTTCGGACAACGGACCCCAATTTGCATGTGAGGAGTTCCGTAAGTTTTCCCGTGACTTCGACTTTCATCACATTACTTCGAGCCCGCATTGTCCACAAGCCAACGGACATGCAGAAAGGAGTGTGCAAATTGCGAAGAGGATTCTAAAACAGAAAGACCCATTACTTGCTCTTATGTGTTACCGTTCCACCCCATGCGCAACCACAGGCGTAAGTCCATCAGAACTGCTTATGGGGAGAAGGATTAAAACAGCACTCCCAACGCTAGAGTCGAATCTCCAACCCCAATGGCCAGATCTAGTTGCCGTAAGAAGCAAGGATGCAAGGGAGAAACAGAAGCAAGCCTTCTACTTCAATCAACGTCATGGTGCAAGACCTTTACCCCTTTTGAGAACCGGCGATTCTGTTCTCACAAAGTTGGATCATCAGGATGCTTGGGGAACGCCGGCTGTCGTTACTGGTGACGGCGCGACTCCGAGATCCTATGTCATCGAGACGCACAAGGGGGCGACTTTGAGACGCAACCGTCGCCACCTCCTGTGTGTGCCAGCTTCTTCTGGAGATACTCCACCCCCACAGCTTCAACATCCCCGGCCGGAAGCTACTGTCCAACGGACTGAAATGCCACCAGACACCTTGGCTACTCCCATAACGAGCTTGCCTCAGACGCAAGATGGACAGCTATTCACGCGGTCCGGCAGGCTGAGTAAACCAGTGAACAGACTGAATCTGTGAGGGTGTACGAAGAACGCTGCCCAAACAGATCTTAATGTGTTGTGAAAAAAAAAAAAAAAAAAAAAAGAAAAAAAAAATGTGTGTAAAACGTGAAAGTAGTCACTAGCTGATTGTGTTGCTGCTTGTATATTCAATATGTTAAGGTATTTTTGCACTGAGGAAAGTAATTTTTGTTGTTCTGAAATGTGACTGAAAAAAAAAAAAAGAAGAAGAAAAGGGGGGAGATGTCATATATGGACTATATGCATAGAACTTTACGACAGCAGTTCGACATGCCGTAAAGAGCGGCTAACGGGTTACCAAGGCAACCGACCTCGTGCATAAAAAAGAGAACATGTCTTCGTTACTATTAGACTGGCCTGCACTGTTCCCGAGCGACTAGTAAAGCACCTCTGTTCAGCACAACTCTCTGAGTGGACATTCTTCAATAACATTACAATTACCTGTTGTTTCTAGCCAGTGAATTCATAGTTTATTACACATGCCTCTTGTTTATAACGTTCTGGTCGTAGTTTTTATGGTCATCCATGTTTCTGGTCCCAAGAGTAAGACTGACTTCTTTAAGTGAAAGATGCGTTGGTGTTGTATGTTTTTGGTGTTTTGAGTACCATATTTGCTTCAGTTTTAGAAAAGTTGTCCTTGCATCGCCTATTCATGTTCATCATGTCTTTGGGATGCCAAGGTGCTTTAATCTTTCCACTGAGGTGTGTATGGCAGAAGCGACACTTTCCTAATTTAGCTGCCCACGTTCCTTGATGATCATGAAAATCCATAATTGATTGGTCCACATCAATAATGAAGTCGTGCGGCACAAACGAACGAACTATCTGTCTGATTGGACCGGGATGGTTCAGCCTGTCTGCAAGCCATCTCCGCTTGGCGTTGGACCGGCACATCTCAGAGGAGAATGTAATCTATAATAGATAGCTCCCAATCAATAATGTAGCAGTTCAATACAAACACTGAATCTGTACCCGAAGCCGCGCATGTGGTCGCAGAGGCCGGCATGGCCCGTCTTCCATCGCGCTGCTGATCCGTCGCCTCCTCCTGCTTTGTACAGCGCGTTGGCACATTTGCACGTAATATCCAAATGCTTTACATGCTTTAAAAACCAAAAGAGACAATTGTTTCTCATTCAAGATGTTGCTGCATTCAGTCATTCTCTCGCTAGACACGGAGATGCCTTCTTTTTTTTTTTTTTTTTTTGCGCAAAGCCTCCTTAAAATATTAAAGCATCTGCACTGCACCAGATTATTCATACCAACATTTTGTTGAGGAATGTAATTCATAACACTCTGAGCCAATTATATAAGACCAACACATATGCTTTGCATAACTGCCAAAAGAAATGGAGGCTGGGAGAAAAGGGCTTGTTGTGAATTTGCGGGCGTGCGTGCAGCAGAGAGATGCAGTTGTTACCTCACATACGTCGTCCTTGTCAGCGCCGGTGCCTCCCGGCTCCTCCGTTATTTGCTTCGTGGGTTTGGTTCAGGTTTTATTTGATGCTAGCACGTCCAGACACAAGCTGCTGTCAGAGTCGGGCCGGCCAGATGCCTGAGTGCTCTGAGCAGGCTGACGCATACCTGCAGAGACGTGCGGCCTGGTTGCAACAGCAGGGCTGTAGTGGATGTGCGCAAGATGGCCAACTGTGTGAAGAGTCCTCACTGGGAAAACAGGGTGTTTCGCCAATGCATCACCAGTCACGAAATCACGGTGCATTTCTCTGATACGGGCTGCTGTGATGGGGATCAACATCAAGTCAAGTCAAGTCAGCTTTTATTGTCAAATATGCTCTATGTGCGCCGTACAGCACAGATGAAATTTCTTTCCTCTCAACCACAGTGCAACCACAGGAGAGATGCATTCATTAGCACGGAAATCCTGTTAGAGTCTCACATACTTCACATAATTCAATGGTGCCCTTTTTTTTAGCAATGGTATCAATTTGGACCGCAGCAGAATGAATTCTGAATTCTGCCAACATAATAAAGGACTTCATCAGGGGGAAATAGTGGAAGGTCTTAGACTGTATATGTTTTTATGTTCAATAAACAATAAACAAACAAACAAATAAACTAGCTAAGTCAAAAATTAGAGGTTAACTGAACAGAGCATGCATTTCACCACCTGAAGAGGATATTAAAGGGAGAAAACCCCAGAAACAAAGTAGAACAGAACTGAGAGAGGCTGCAGTAAAGGCCTGGAAAAGCATCTCTTCACACAAGGTAAATTTAAAATTGTTGGTTGCAGTACATTTGCTCAATTGAAAAGTGAGTGACTTCAAACAAAATGTGCTCTGTCCGACTTTATTTGACATGTCTAAATGTAAATTACCATCAATTAAAAGCTGGACTTCGGAACTTTTTTGTGACATTTATTTTTTGATCGCAAACCCAAATGTCTTCAGGAAGCAACAAAGCAAATTAATTGACCTTGATGTTCCAATATGTTTGGAGGGGACTGTTGATATACATGCATGCTTATCATATCAAAATAAAGTTCTATATCATTTAGTTAGGTCAGAAATGTCAGCGTTTGCTTGGACAAACGTTTTGTTGCCTACAAAAAAAAAAATGTGTATCAAAAATTATAGTTTTATTTTAAATACATGAGCATGCTTCAGTAGCATTTGAAAATAAGGTCGTGGTGCTTTAAAAAAAAAGGAATTAATATAAAGTTCATGATTATTTGGTTTCAGCTTACCTCAGACATGGCCAATAATGTTCCTGTCTGGTGACTGGGCTGGCCAGTTCCGGAGCACCTTGACCTTTTGGGATTTGAGGAATTTTGAGGTAGAGGGTTAGGGTTAGGAAGCGCAGCCTTGCTGAAAATGTGCCCCCTCTTGTGGTTTGGGATGGAATGGGCAGAAAGAAATTCCTAATTGCCATCCACCACCTCACACATCCCCATGCTCACACAAGACCTCAAGTTTTCCTCTACCTAACCTGATTGTTTTTGTGTGAATCTTGGGTACATGTGAGTTCCAACGGGTCTTCTGCAGTATTTGCGGCGACTGGGACAAAGTTAAACTGTCAGAAAAATCTATCTTTTGCCATTTTTCCATTGTCCACCTTTTCTACAAATTGTGGACTTTGGAAAATACAATATTTTGTTGTTGTTTTTTTTTTTTTGGGGGGGGGGTTGTTTTTTTTTGGTCTTTTATTTAATGCAGGTTTGTGGGCTCTAAGTCATCCGTGGAGCCTACTGTGTGAGATACTTTATAAAACTGCTCTTGTAGATACAGTATTTCCTTGTGACCAGTTCTTATGTAGATTTGCTGTTGCTGAAAAAGGACTGACCCTGGACTGTCGAGGGGTCTGCTTGACCTGGCCTCGTCACAGACGTCACCAGTTTCTTTTTCTTATTCTCTGTAGTTGCCGTTTGCATACATTAAAAATGTCTGCCACCTCAGCAGCAGTTTAGGCCTTCAGACTGTTGATGATCAGTATTTTTGTCTGTAGTTGAATCTTGGGCATGTCAGAGGTCAGGTCGCTCTTCACATGAGGTTTTGTGTGCTGGGGGTCTTTTTAGACACACCTGGGATGGTGCTAATTACATTTCTTGACACAGGTGAAGCTCAAATTTGTGACCGGCTGAATCATTTCCAAATACCACATATGACTTTTGTCCTTGGGAAATTAAGAGATATTCTGTCCTTTCCCAAGCTGTGAACATGAGGACACATTTTGATTGATTCGATTTACATCCACTTATTCATGTAAAAGCACCAGATAATGAAATGAACCATTTACTCTAACAATTCATTGATTAGAAATGAAGTTATATGTCATTTTAAATCCACTATGTCCTCATGTCTTAAGCAATCAAAATTTTATAGCTAATTAATTGCACAATTTTCCATGATTAATCGTGTTTGATTTTTCAACTACTATTTACTAACAAGCTTGTAACAGATATTTACTTGAGTAGAATCATGGAATGAATGTAAATCCATGGAATACAAAGTATATATGGTAGATTCAAAGATTGTTCTAATAGCTTTCTTTTGTCCTCAAATATGATTCTTTTCTTGGAAAAATATAATTGCTGAGCAAAACGATCCAAACTGAGTCAATTTTACAGCCATTCTTCTTATATTCTTCTCACTGAAACAATCCTCAAAACCTCTCGCTTACCTCTAAGTTTGGCTGCAATGTGAGCGAAGGTCAGCCGCCACAGGAAGTCAAACAAGAAAACAGAGTTAACTATTTCTTGTGCTTCACAACATTTAAATTAACCTTTAATGCTTTTACTTAATACTCTCTCTCTCTCTCTCTCTCTCTCTCTCTAAAAAAACATTATAATTATAAGGTGTGTTCTTACGATTTTTTACCTTCACCTACCTGAACCTGCAAATGACAACGGTGCTCCCAGCTGTCACTAAACAGCGAATTACATATTTTTTTTTAAAAATCATCAGCATTAAGACAGATGGCACACAACAAAATATCGAGTGAGAGAGAAGAAAGACCAACCAGGACCTCCTGAAGCATGTTGCTCAAAATTCGCAACCAAAGGTCAAGAGCGGGAGATCCAGAGAGAAAGAGACATGAAGGTCAGACTTCATTCAAAATGGAAAAATTATTAGGATTCTCCCTCCCTCCTCCTCCTCTTGCTGACCCGCCCCTCTCGCTGTCTTCCGTGCTGCTTTTGTGAGAGGATGTATCCTCACAGCTCAATAAAAGACATCACTCGGGCCAGGATGAGAAAAAGATGCTGAGTGGAGGAAGAGGGATTGAATCCAGCGCTCTTCAAATCAATACACTCAATCTGGGCCTTTAAAGTTATCAATCTCACCCACAAGCCAATGATCCAACAAGGCCGGTTTGTATGTTCAGCATGTGTGGAAGAGCTTGGACTCAGGCACAGAAGACATTTTAGTTTGAAAATTGGCTGCGCAGGGATCTCCAACTCTCTATCCAAAATGGAGGCCTCTGCTCCATCTTCATTTCAACGTCAAGCTTCGTTACGGGGTAAAATGTGATTGGATGCAAATGTCAGGTTGATTATGGCACACTCACATTCGTAAGCTCGCACTCTTGAATTCACTTTGTCCTGTGACGCTGCCTCGAAATGAGATTCTGTCTGGGAATTTGTGGTGGATGTGTTATGTCCGTAAACAAGGTCATTGGGAACAAAGGTGCACACCTCCCCTCAGGGGGGGTCCACACACACACGCACACGCACAC